CGATCTCATGAGATCTGGAAAACCTGGAATCTAACTCCGTTCCTTGGGATCTGGGGGATAACCTTGTTGTCCACACACAGGCTGGGGTCAGAGGTCAGTGGTCTGTGGGCTGTCTTCCTGCTTGGATGAAGCACTTGAGTGCTGGCCTGGGATTTGGGCTGGAGAAGAGCCAGGCCTCTGGGACTACAGCCCCAGCTATCCTGCTGCGTCTTTGCGCATCAGACGTTCTCCCAGGAGCAGATCTCCTGTTCAAGACTCTGATCGTTGATATTCGGAAATGAAGGTTTTAAGCTTTTTTTTTTAAATTTAATCTCGAAATGGAAACTGTACATAACTTGAACGGACAGATGGATGTCGGTATTTACTGTATATTAAGTTTTATTTAAGTTTATTTTTATAAATGCTTGTGTTTGTTGGCTAATAAACAACAACAAAAATGATTATGTTGCCCTGCTGCTTTTTCTCACGTTGGCGTCGGCGTGTGTTGGAGGCTTTTGCGATAGGATGTCTGAAACTGTCTGGGGTAACTGGGGGTTACAGTCGTCTCTGCCTGTCATCCACTGCTTTCTGGTGATATAGCGCCTTTAAATGTACCTTCTCGAAGCGACTTGCAAGACGTATGAAGAAGAAGAAAAACGGTTAACGAAGATGAATACGTTTGTAGCAGATGTTTATCTCAGTAGCGACCAGGGCATTAGATCAGGCAGATCGTGATATAGCGCCGAGCTGCGAATTCAATTAACTTCGACTTAGAAAAACGGGGCGTTTCACGTCTTTTGCAGGTGACCTCTCCAAACACTGGTGTGTGTGTGTGTCTGGTGTTCCCCCTCGCACGCCCGGGCGGCTGGGTAGAAGCGCCGCAGTTAATGAGCTAATGAGAGTTCATGACCGAAACCAGCCCTCGAGAGTCGGGGGTGTTTTTGTGACGCTCTCACGCCACCAGGGGGCGGCACTAGCGCGCCGCGCCGCCGGCCGCCGGGTTTTGTGGACGATCCATGGAGCCGCAGGCGGTGGTGGTGGGTGGTCTGTTGAATTTAAGCAATTCGAGAACCGGTCGGGGGCAGAAGCTGTCCGAGCGGAGGGACCCGACTTCCCTGAAGGATATTACGGACTGGACTGCGACACGTCCCACGGAGAGCGAGTGCACAGAGTCACCAATTCAGGACTTCGGTTCCAGCCAGCCTGTTCAATATAGCCAGAATCATTCGGCCTCGAAACACAATTGCGTTACTTAATTGCACAATGTATCATTGTGTTGGGGGTGGAAATAGTACAGATGAGTGTGATCAGTAAGACAGACGCCTCTGCCTGAAATCCTTCAATCACGGCTCCGTCTTCAGCCTGCGAGGTTACACAGGAGCTTTCGTTATGAGCGCCGCAGGAGTGGACGCGTCATTTCAAAGCGAAGCAATAAACGATATAAACAAAAACAAAGATAAGACGCGCCTTGTTTGCAAACTTTTATTTCAGCCGCCGGGGGGCTGCAGGAGCTCGCGGGTGAAGCGAATTCGTCC